GTGTACGAATTGTATTTAACAAAACAAACGCCAAAAAAAGAAACCTTTTTTTAATTTCGAGCTCGTGGTGAGATTTGATTTGACGAAAACGAAAGTTAGATGGCACTTATTTAATTTGATTTCCACAAACAAACTCCTCACTCCTATTTGGTGGAATATATTTTAGGACGAATGAACACTGTGATTTCCTAGTTGAGCGGTGACTTTACATGTTCTCATGACCCGTCAGGCTGTGGATCATCAATGAGGTCATATGCTGCGCGTGCTCTGTGCGCCAGGATTCTCTTTGTGGCAAAAGCGATAGAGGCGGTTCCTACAATGGCTCCTGCGACACCACACCCAATGGCAACGGCTAAACCAGAACTGGAAGTCTTGCCTGTTGGAATCTGGGTAAAAAAAAAGAGAACTCGCTGTGTCAATGCTTGTTTATTAGAGCGCGAACTTCTTCTTCAAGGCGCGTCTGTTTTCTCAAGAATTTGTGATTTTGCTACACTTCACTCAGTGTTTGGCTTTCAAATATCGCACCAACTTCTTAACCAAGCAGACGCAAACGTAGATGAACCGTTTCTTAGTTATCCGCGTCTATCCGCAAGTTAGGCAGTGAGCATGTATTTTACTTTTTTCTGATCAGCTACTGTGATTTGGTTGGTTTTGTTTCTTTTTTTTTTGGCTGTAGGACACTCATTTTAGTAAGAAAAGCTGAGCAAATTGTTCAATATGTGCCACTCAGTAGTTAGTAGTTTCAAACTTCTCAGGAGTGACGGAAAACATTCAACCTTTTCTAGCATAAAGATGCAGAAACAAAGAACAACGACCGTATGAAAGAAAACAAAAGTAAGCTTGGTGCTTAAGCTGAAATCCTTACCTTGCTCTTAACATCCTTTCCAGTTCCTAAATCATCTTCACTCTCTTGCCCTGTAATCAATGATCAGTTGTCATTTGTCACTGCTTAGGTATTGCAGGCTTTCATAAACTTTCACTAACAGTAGTCTTTTTTGAAAAACCACAAAATCTTTGTCGATCTTCAAGTAGATCGGAAGTTGAAATAGAAATTCTACGCAGTCTTCGAATTTGATAGTGTCATGTGCATGCCATCCCCAAAATGATGGAACTTGAGGTGGGGGGAGGGGAGGGGATGGGTACTTTATATCTTTATCATCTTTGTTTTGGGTGACTCGATGGTCAAAACAATCTATTCCAGCGATTTCTCAGGGGAACCTGAGGACATGTTAAGCCGGGGTAACCAGTGATTTACCAATATCCCGCCAAGAGAGATTGGCAATACTCCTTGGTCGTTTTATGTTACCAAAATAAGGATACGTTCTGGTAACTATGCGAGTCAGTCTTTAGCGCAGGATACCTTTACTTACTTGATTCATTACGCTGTTTCACAAACCAGTCTTTTTCTCTTTGCCTGAATCACGCTGTACACTTACCTGGCTCGTAATAACAGTAGTAAATCTTTAAATTGAAGGGGTCTTCACTGGGTCCATAAGGGTGTGCCCCATCTGCTGCATCAGTATTCCCTTGATCATCATCATCAAACTTGATGAACTCGCTTGTAACTTTGGTTCCCGCCACTTTCTGACACTGAGCAGAGTCGTATGTGAGAAGGTAGAAGGGTCTCAGAGCGGGAAGTTGAATTGGATTGTTCACGTTTCCCTTTGTACTACAGCAGTATTTTATTGTTGTGTGAGATTTCTCGTAGACTCCATCGGGCAGGTCTCCGAAGTGTTTGTCGTTAAGGTCTATTTCTGATTGTTCATCGTCCCAGCGGATGAAGCCTTCTTTTAGTCCGTTAGGACATACTCCTGAGAAAGGAGAGCATCATTATTCGTTGTTTTCATGATGTACTCGCTTCATCTTTAAGTCAATGCTGGTGGTAACGCCTCCATGGCTAGCTGTCTGCCTGTCTGTCTGTCTGGTCGGCTCTCTACCTTTATGTCTAACTGCCGATTATTTTGGTGTTTTGGTGATTAAATAACCAAATGAATGTTGTCGTAAGCTTCAGAGAAACAATGTTGTGCCTTGTGAGAAGATGATTTAAACCCCAAATTTTCCGATGAGTGGTTAACACTTAAAAAAATGAGCTCAAAACTCGCTGACTGAGGCGGTTTATTTACGTTATCAACCACAAATTCAAAAACAACCAACTGTGCAACCAAATAACTCAAGGATTCAACGAACGAACTAAAAGAGCAACTATCTGCTACAGCTGGATCGTAGATGATCAAGTTTTAAAGACAACTATTGTCTTGACTCTGAACAATTAAATACTGAGGGGCGTACGGATTACTCTACTTGGGTTTTTTTAAAACTCTCTCACCTTTCTTGTAAAGGCAGTATTTTCCTTCGGGCCAAATTTCGCTGCCACTGTTTCCATTGTTACTATCTTTTAAGCAGAACTTCTGCTGAATACCATGCGCGGAAAAGTTCCCAGGCATGTGGAAGATGTTCGACCGCTGGTTCTCGTTATTGTCGTCCTCTGTGTCATGATAAGTCCAACCTGTCTTCCATTCAGTGACTCCATCTGACGGACAGCCCGTGGTAGGCATAGGTAAACCGTATGTACCACCTGGCCATTGAACTGAAGTAGAAGAAAAGCTCGAATGTAACTCTTCAGTTTAACGAGGAAAGATCCAATGTTCATATGGATTGGTAAAAATCTGAACAGCTTTAGTTCTCCTTCTTTTATGTTTGGATTCTTTTCGTACTGTTTTCTTATCCTTCGATCTACTCTTTTCTGGTCATAATGATATGGTTTTAATTTCGGATAACCATTTTAGTGTCATGACCCAGATGAGATTGTGATTTACAAACCTAATTTGATAAGAATTCAACTTTTGCTGTCTACATTTCAGCCGGTTGTCCAATCATGTCACCCTTTAACAAATGGTAAACACCACAGCGTACACTATTGAGTTATGGATGCACGCGGGAGGTTGCTAAGCACGAAAGAAGCGTAAGAGTCGCTCGAGGCGAAAGCCGAGAGCGACTCTAGCTTCTTGAGTGCTTAGCAAACCTCCCAAGTGCATCCATAACTCAATAGTGTACGCTGTGGTGTTTACCATTTGTTTTATAACATTACATTGATACATTGTAGCTAAAGAGTTCCCTTTTATTTAACAAATCTTACGCGACCAGAAAAAACAAGCGCGCGCGGAAAAATAGTCTTTGCATTTGCTCACGTCAGCAGCGTACACCCATGGGCAAATGGGGGACGCTAAATTGACCAATCAGAGCGCGCGCTTTACTTTGGTTATGTTATAATTTATAATTGTCGTGAGTAGGAAATACGACCTAGAGGGGATAGGATAATCACGCTGCAGTGTTCTTGGTCAATTGGTGAGCAAAATCAAAGGTGAAAAAGCCATCAAAAGGATACTGATCAATGTTCACATCTAAGGTAAGCAAAGGGGACAAAGTGTATTTGTATTTTGTTATAGATAAGTCATCTCTTGAAAGTTCGTAACTGAACAGAACTCACCTTCAGCGTCCACAGTAGCGAGGTATGAGATAAACAGCACAAGGCACCAATACCTCATGTCTTCCCGTATTCTCATTTCTTGTCAATCACTTATCTGAATGTGTCATGAAATGTAGATTAGTCTGCTTAGCGCGCGTTTGGCATTTTCGTGGAGTCCAACCATTTTCCGGTTGAGTTTAAGAAAAGTGATGGCCCCGCCCTTGCGTTTTGGCGGAGTTATTTTAATTTTATGGCAACTCTTGAGAAGCGTTTTCCACGAGCATTTTTTTAACGGAATACAATGATTTGCAATTGGACCAACTTAATAGAGATCATTTTTTCATTTACGTCTGTTTCAATGCCTTTCGAAGCATGGATTAAATGAACACCCGTACTTGTGTCTTATGTCATACTCTTTCAGTCTTAGATCAAGCCTGTTAAACCTCATAGTGTTTTATTTATATCAACCATACGTTTCTACTTTAGAGAACATATTTCTGCCAGACGGTATTTTTGACCATCATGCAAACAGAAAACGTAAAGGGATCACTTTTGGCTGGACTGATTAATTTTGGCACTTAAATTTGATTTTGAAAAGCGTGAAAGTGTTTTATTTCATTCATTTATCATCAAGTAAAGTTAAGTTTCATATTTTTTGTTTGGCCAGCCACTCAACCATCGTGCGTTCGCACGAGCACATGGAAAACGGAAGTGAACACACGAATACTCGCCCAAGGGAAATCAATGTCCTTCCGGCCAAAAAAGAACGAAATTTAAAATTTCTCATGATGTATTTTTTCTAATTTGATTTGCCACCTGTATAGAAATGGAGCCCTTTATGGTTCAATTCTCCCGAAACCGATTAAGTTAAGAATCAGCGACAAGAAAGAGCTCAGGAAATAACCAAGTGAGAAAGAGAACAGACATTTTCCAGTAATATTTTTCTTTGCAAAGCGAAGAATATGACCCAACAAACGAGGCATTCGGTAAACGTGTTTTTCCCCAAAATGTGACCTTTTGATTTTTGATTCATACGGTATTACATAGGAAACAATACTAGAAGTAGCATCTGCGAAAAGGGAGTTGTATTCAAATAGGAATGATCGCCAGAACTACGGAAAGTTTTTAAATAAGCATTATTATTTTAGTTTGATTTAAAAACTTACCTAGGAAATTCACTTCCACCATATTGCTCTCTTAGAGAAGAAACATGACGTCATGGGATAGATTTATCTTGTTTTTGTCAGTTTGACGCGCCGATTATCCACGCTCTTTGCATCGCCCAATCAGAGAGCAAGATAGGGTGGCAAAGTTCCAGGTATATCGCATCACTACATAACTCCTTCGTGAGATAATGGCGCGCAACATTTCCCGCTCTTTTGCCTTCGAAGATGTCAAAAGCTGCGATGCCTGACAGAGTAAACGGCCTGATTTCTCGAAAAATCAGCGTGGTATTTTGTAAGTTCGAGCCCATGGTGCAAGGATCGGTGATTTTGTTGCTAAACAGTCTTTTATGGAGTCGTATGTATCGATATGTAATTCATAAGCGATGAAAATGGCTTCTAAACCCCCAAAGTAAGAAACATTCCCGCTAAAACAAGACCACCAATTGCAAGAAGTTAAGTTCACGTTTTCTGTCAAAGTATCTCTGACGTTTTCTGTATATGGCTCTTCCAGTAGAGATGAAAGTAAATTAGGAGTTTTGAAATATTCATTATATTGGATAGTCATTCAACATTTCAAATATTTAATTTTAGGCTTAGCGCCTTTACAAACAGCCCAAAAATTTTCGTAGACACGTAGCCTTATTGATACAAAAGGGCAAACTTTCGTTTGTAGACTATAAAAAAGTTGTATAAGCTCTACAATAAAATATATGTAGATATATAATTATTTATACTGGTATATATTTGAGGAGACAGGTTAAGATTTCTTATTCATTTCTGGTACCTGCACACGTGACATGCCCATGCCATCAGCCGGTCAGGTCGAACATTTGGCGAATTATAGCCTGGAACTGATTTGCTTGAAAGAAAGTCAAGTCTCGAATAACAGAATCCTCTATAAATCAATTTATAATCGGTTTTGTTTGGAAACTCGTATCGGCGAAAAACTCAATAGAAGGTCGGCAAGAATTTCTTAGGAGACGACCCTTCACAAATTGGTTCCTACAGCGTGCGTTGCCAACCTTAAGGAGCTTCTTCAGAATTGTTCATCTCGCAAACTTTGACATGAATTTATCAAGGTCACCATTCGTAATCCGTTTCAACCATCTCCACTTTAAACACAAACCTTCTACTCTCTCAGATTATCCTCCAGAGTGCGAGCAGGCTGAGAACCGCGCCGGGGGATTACGCGAACACAGAGAGTGTTGTTTTTGCTCCCGCTCCACGCTCGCTCACAATAAAATTAATATAGAAACGGTTATGGACGGAAAATTGCTTATAGTAATAGTTGCATGGTTTCCTTCACTTTAAAGGTAATTTTGCGAAAAGCAACAGTAGCATTCGGATATCATGAAATAGCACCCGACTGAAACAACCGGGTGACCGCTTAATACGGTGTCGTTTAATACAGGTTCGACTGTAACTGAACGGAAGATCCAGAAATCAACTGAAATGATCCGACGCATGAAGACGAGCAGTTCCACTCACGGTACATATTACCTTTCTACGGAAATCGTTGATGTCTGGACGTAGCTGTGTTTATCTCGCTCCGATATGTTTTAGTAGGTTACTTCTTCAACCTCTATACTCCGAGAAATTATTAACACCTACCCTTTCCCTATTGATAGTATCTATACGTTATCTGGCAAACGGATGATGAGTTTACTCGAGCTTATTAGGTAGAAGTTGTTACCTTCACCAAACACCAAATCCTCGTAAGCAATTTACGAGGAATTGTGAAGCAGTTAGAGGGGAGAATTACCACAAGGGTTAATAAGTTACTTCTTAGAAAAGGAAAAAAAAAGCGAAAACAATCAATTACGAAAACAACTCTTTAGGGGTGTAGTGTTTGAGGTTTTTAATATTAGATGTACAGTATATTTCTTATACTCCTGTGTCCTTGTAGCGCGAATTTTTCATGACCGACCATCTAAGAGTACGTTAAAATGCGTGAGAGTAGTCTCAGCTCGGCAAACCCCTGACTAAATGAAATTTTGTTAATATTCGATCTGACATACCACGATCATTTAAATCTGGCATCAAGTTAAATGTGCTGGAAACCTTGCTTACTTTCTATGTGGTTATATACCCATGTCGTGATACACCCTGTTTAATTCATCTTTAGCCCACTCTTTCTTTGCGTTGATTTCCTGAAGTTCGCTCTCCAGTGCGTTACGTTTGCAACTTAGCGCAGCTATTTTTCTTTGCGCTAGATCAGCTTTAGCTTCAGACTCAACGTAGCTGCTTTTAAGATCTTCAATTTTTTGGTTGAGGGCCTGTTCTTCTTCTTCACTCATCCCCTTTCGTGAACTCGACTGAAACTCCTCCATGGTTTTGTTAACTTGTAATAATCTGGCGTTAAGCTGACCTTCTAGCTCCGACAAACGCTCACAACGTTTCTCTGCAAGCTTCTTCTGCAGTTCAACCACTTTAATTCGACGAGACGCTTCGTTCAACTTGGATTCGTTGATAGTCACAGTGTCTTTTACAGTTTTCAGTTTTTCGTGTAGTGTGTTCTGTTTTGCGTTCATTTGCTCTTCCTCTTGAGCTAGATTGTCCATTGCTCGTTCGTTCCTTTTCAAACTCTCGCCAGTTGACCACAACTCTCCTTCGATATTCTCCAAGCGAGATGATATCCTCTTTATTTCAGCCTCAGTCGATGTGGCTTGTTGCCGCAACATGGCCGCTGTAGCTTCGGCGCTATCGATTCTTTTGTTAACTTCATTTAAGCTCTCCTTAAAACACTCACTCCTGGCTTCGGCCTCATTCAAACGAGCTTTTAATTCCGTGAATTTTTGCCGCAATCTCTCAGCCATGTTTAGCTCTTTTTTTAAAACACAGACTCAGCACGAAGCGCACGCATGATTACGTCACAATTAGCTTTGTATTGCATGGCAATTATTACATTTGTGATTAGCTAATGATGTTAATTGGAGCTTGAGTATGGTTTCGTCCGATTTGATTTTCCTACTCTTATGATGATATTAACCTTAGAGGTTTTGAGTACAATCCCTCATAGGAAAAGTAGAAATATGATATTTTATTAAATCGATGGAAATTCTTATACAAAACTGCATTTTCTTTCGGCTACAACACCCTCAGCGTGCTATTTCTGTTTTAAAAAAGCAATGTAAGTCCATTTGGGCGTAACGCACATTTGCGCCTAACGGAACATCATCGATATGTTACTGGTGTGTACATCTTCACACACCCTAAATTTTCACCCCCTATCAATTGATTGAAAAAAAAAAAAACCAGAAAACTGGCTAAGCACTATCTATTCACGCTACCTCTACAGCAATTGTAATACAATGAAAGCTTAGACTTTAGTTTCTTTCAGGGAGACCGCTGCACCACGAGATTGTTTTTCCACCGCACGTGATCATCTTCACTGTACCTTTTGTTAAGCGTTGATCATGTAGCCAAGGAAAGCATAACAAGCACAAAATTGCTGAGGGAGAAGTTTGTAAAACGGTGATGGTTTTTTTCGTGTATGTGTGTGTGTGTGTGTGTGTGTGTGTGTGTGTGTGTGTGTATGTGTGTGTGTCATAGAGCGAGACAGAGAAAAACCGATAATGAAGTAACTAGTATGAGACAGAAAAAAACCGATAAGTAACTAGTGATCCAAATCAGATACATGCTTGATTACCACATAAAACACAAAATTATGAAATGAATTCAAATTTAGATATAGCGTAGACTATTGTCTCTGTTTTCATTACTGATATTTCCGATCATCCCGTAGATCCTTCCTCTCGGCCCTTTGAACACATCTAGTTGTTTTATGACTTGGTATTGTTTATTATAATGAAAGCCAACAATTTCTATCGTCGTCCGGTTGATTTGGTCTGAGGACTTCCAGTGATATCAGGAAGCCTTTACTAATAAATTGCACAGTTTGTCATATTCGTCGTAAAGACGTATTTTAGATTAGTCTAGATAGATAATTGCTAAGTGAAGCATCTGTTTTCTCTTTTTTTTTTCGGTAATGACGGAGGATGTAGGATCCTTCCAAAATTACAAAGATGATCTTTATTTAAAAACCATCAAAGTGACAAAGACCTTTTAAACCGCTCAATGGTTCATTTTTGAACATAAAAACTAGATAGATGGTATACAACAATCAAACTAATCCACAAAACGTTCTCAAATAAAAAAACGCGTCTTTTCACTAACTGATGGAGATGGCCTAAGAATATAACACCATTTGTTTCACCTACAAAGTATAAAGTAATTGAAAGGATAAGTGGAACCATTACTTTGAAAGTGAATCATCGACGTAGAAAAATAATGACTTCAAGTAAAACCTTCCACGAATGAGATATACTTTAAATTTTCATCCTCTTTCCTTTTTTTTCAGTCTATCTTTTGACAAAGAGCGATTAAAATTCGGCTTTCTATACGAAACTACAATAACTCACAGGTCTGTCAGAAGTGTAGATTCATCGTTTTAGGAGTCATGATCCCAAAATAAAAATGTATTTTTTAAATTTCGGCTGAAGAACTGAGGAACGACACGTATGTTTACGTAGATTTAAATATGCTTGGAAGTCGTAATAATCATCATAATTACAATATAGCCTCCGGCGAAGGAACTGTTTAAGATGGTTTACAAACGTCGTTATTTCAGTTTGAACTGGAACACGAAAGTTCCAAACTATAAGGGATATCCTGAAACTATTTTCCTGACATCAAACGGAACTTAACGAAAACGTTGTTTTTGTGTTTAAATGGGGACATTTTTGTGTTTGCTGAAATTGTATAATAAACCTATGTGTGGGTGTTATCAGTTTGGTTCCAATTTTGGTCAAGTGGTGACGTCCTTTATATTGAAAACATTTTAAATTTCTTGCATTGAAAGATTGATTTTGGCCAGAAACTTCCTTTGGTGGAGGCATATGACGCTAATAACATGAATTAAGAAAGATCTATTATTTTTGTTTGCCAGCAATTTAACAAGACAACCACACAGATCGATTGAGTTCGAAACCTTTCTTTATAATAAGTCAGCGCTTTTAAAGCGTTTTAAAGCACAGCATGAAAGTGAAGGAAAAATAAACAATTCAAAAAGCCCTTGTAAAGTTTTTTACTTGAAGCATGAATGTGTAAAACCACTTTCTATGGAAGGAAGTAAAAGGTTAGTGGATTAAGAAACTCAACTCTTCTAGAATATTGAGTAAAGATCGAGGTAGGCGTTTCCAAGAGATTATGCCGCGGCAAAGTTTTGCAAGTAAACATAAAGTCAACAAATCGATGATGTATTTTCTTAGAAATTATGCTACACCAAAGTTTTACAAGTAAATCATGATTAAAAAAATAACGAATCGGCAATATATTTTATATTTTTTTTAAGACTACCTTATCGATCTGTTTATTCTTAATTGAGAAGAACCCACAAAATCAACTCAAAATCCTAAATTTAGAATATCAACTTTTCTATATATATCGATAACTTCAGAAAAAAAGAATAACAATCGGGAATTACGCTGACTTTTATCAATTTTTAAGGGAGTCTTGCATCAAATTTAGAAAGCTGTCTGATTTTATCTTTTTGGGTACCAAAGATATTAAAAGTTCATTGAAATAAATATATTGTGGAATGAAATTATATACTTCTTTCACATTGAAAATGAAATGCCAGTTTGAAAGGTAAAATTATAGCCGTTCCTTTATCAGATTTTGCCAAACAAAATAAAATAATTTTTGAGTTCTGCTTTTACCTGAAATTTTCATAAAGTGAATAAAGGAGCATATCAGTTTCTGGAACTTGCTTCGGGGTAAATCATTAATCAAATAATTCACTAAATCATCACATTAGCTTCAATAGATATGTTTTATTTGGTGCGAATTTTTTAAAAAATAATTCCTAATGGCTCAAAATCAACTTTTGGCGGAGACAGAATCTCTCCCACGTGTAATAAACAGGTGTATACAACGATTACGATAACATCTAATCATGAAATACGTGGACAATACGTTTTGTTATCAGATTCAGCCGAACAATAAAGGTTGTCAGTTATGAAGCTCGACGGCGTTTGTATTTAGACCACAACTGCTAAACAACGATCAACTAATTTCATGTTGTACGTTAATCCTTGTCATTGAAGGCAGTGCTAGAGAAATCGGCACCTTTTCAAAGACTGAACCGACAATAATGTAAGTTATATTCCTTTTCTTATTTGGGCTTTATTTAGATAACATTACACCTCACTGCTCACAGTTGTCCTTTGGAGTTCTTTTACGATAAGATGAGAACCAGTGGCGTTATTGCATCATCACTAACTTTCACCTTTCGCAATTTCATTGATTGGCTCAAATTTCCTGGAACACCGTCTGGCTGTAGTATACACTGTAAATGAAGCTTTCAATTACCATTTATTTTGGCTCTTGAACTTATTGAAGTTTTCAGTCATCTCTCGTCGAAACGAAAAGCGTTCACTATCATAAAGAAAAAAAGCTTGGGCTTTTTTTCTCCTGCATGATAAGCGAATTAAAAATTTGGCCGAGGGAGAAACTGATTATTGTACAGGATTACCATTTAAGGCTGGGGTTTATCAAATTTTCCAACCACTTTTTTTTTCTGGTTCTTCATGAAGAGGATTCGAGGCGATAATGACACAAATGAAACAAAAAAAAGTCCCTGGTTAATTGTTACTAAAACATTACAAGTAGCTGCCGATTCCTGTTGTCCATTCAATTTAGAACACGTACCACACATTATGACGTCACCAGCCGTTTCTAAGCAACGCCTCATACCTTTCGCGCCACTTCATTCATTGAACCGGAAAAAAATATGGTAAATTTAGTACTCAGTCGTTGAGTAAAGAAGGATATCATTCGTTTTGTCACCAACTCTGGACGAACTGGAAACATCCTCGATAAACTAACTTAAGATTTTCTGCTCTTGCTTTCCGATGCGCTACCACTGAGCTAGAGAGAACTTGACGATGACTCTGCATTTTCCAGTCGGGGAGAGGCGAGCTCCACGCATTTGTAAGGAAAATGCGAGGGACGAGAGGCGCCTAAGTTGAGGAGCTCGATAGAATGACTCATTACCGGCGCTTGCCGCAGCCCACCTGAAAAACACAAAATAATGACTCTTTTTCCGCAGGCTACCTTAGTGACAAATTTTTAACCTTTCATTTTCTTTAGCCTGAATTAACAGTCTGTTTCGTTTTGTTCTGTCTTTCAGGAGGTTTCTTTGTCTCACAACAACTTTTGTCTTGCTGATATTAATAGTTGTCTTGTTTTGTGCTGATATGCCATTTGTAATTGCTTCAAATTCCAAAGTGGACGATGGAAATGAAAATCGTTATACACTGTGTTACTCGACCTCAGAAATAGACAGGCTTCTCTCTAATAACTGTGTGAACTTTAGAAAACGAGCGATGTGGAAGTCAGGCAAGTTTGTCCTAAATTTGTATGCGAGTTAAGTAAAAATCTAATTATTTTGACAAAATTAGACGCAACTAACAGATTGCATTTGCAATCTGCGTTTCTCTTTGTCCTTCTCAATCTTCTTCTTTTTCATTTTGGGGCAGTCATTACTTCTTGGGCTCGTTCACTCCAGCTGATGATTATTTGACAAGTTTTTTTAATCCTATTTATGCGTCCGTTCAGTAATAATTTTGTTTCCTCCATAGGTGAAAATATTCTGCAATCTCCAGAGAAAGCACAACGATTTCTACAAAAACGTATCACTTATGTTACAAATTATGGATTGTTTCTGGAAGAATGTTGCCATGAAAGTAGCTGCCGAGTAGAAGAGATTCTCGAACACTGTGCAGCACCAGTGTAGAATTTAAGGAATTGGTCTCAAAGGGTTTTTCTTAGGATATCGTCGGAGACTATTGAAGGTTTGAAGAGAAAAATTTGAAAAACAGCTAAGGAACCTTTTTCCCCATCTTTTGATTGAAATTTCTTTTTCTGACTTGATATATATACCTTGAACACATATATTGGCACTAGCCAGGTATTTCGTTCGTGCATTTACCTACCGCTTGCGCCGCCTTTGCTCTCAGCCCTGTTGCATCATGGTACACAGAGGCTCCTCATTTCTTACAACCTTGTTAGTGAAACGGATTAAAGACTGGGAGAGAAGTTTTTCATATTTCCTTCGCTTTCCCCTTTTATGGTAGAATCCACTTCCTAAAATATGAAAAATATATATATCAATGTAATGCGTGTCGTATGTAAGCCTAACTTTCACCATCACAACTTGATTGTGAGAAATGGTAGTTAAATTGTCTGGCTGTGACTTGATGCTACATCTCCTGGATGTGACACATATGCAATTTGTGTGAACAAACACAGAAACAAACCAAAGGGTATAGTAATGTTGAAGGGACATAGCCATATGCTCTGGCGTTATATTGAAGATACTTGAGATTGTTGAAGCACAAAGGAACAATAATGGCTGACCTGAATGGCTGAAATTTTCAACCAACGTTATAAGTTATTTCTCAACTCCATTACTTTTTCCAGTATTTTATAAATTGAAGGAGACGAGCAGTTTGGATTATGGAAAACATAACACTATCTCTTGTCGGTGCCAATACTTCTAGTGGTTTTATATTGGAAATTGAGGATTTTTATTAGCCTTATTGTTTCGATTCCACCTATCAGTTACAAAACTGCCGCTTAATGAGCGACCTACAATTACCTAGCTTTAGTGCTTGATTAAAACAGCACGTGGCATGGAAAAGAGCTTAATTATTTCCAGCTTGGAAATTTATAAATGTAGATGACTCTCAAAACTGAAAAAAGTCTTTTGCTTCTAGAATCGATCTCGCTTTATTCTATAAAGAATTCTTGACGAAATTGTTTTGAGCTTTTAAGCATTTCTATTCATTAATTTAATTCAACGGAAACCCTTCGGTGGAAAAAGGGACAGGACGTCAGGAGATACCTTGTCACAAATAAATCGACGATTATTTTGAAAATAATCATAAATTAATAACACAGTCCAGTCATATATTTGTAAGACGCTTTAATAAAGAGAGATCAAATATCACGCCAAGTCATTAGTAACGCTGTTTATGAATGACTTTTTCGGGTAAATTTGATAACCCCTGCTAAATTACGCAATCGTTGATAAATATCGCGTTCAGGGCCTTCCTGAACGGACGAAATAAAGTTGATCACAATACTAACGCGAACGTAACGACGGAACCACGCAATGTAAACGTAAATTAATAAAAAAGAACAATGCATATGTTGACAAAAGATAGCCCGGAGTCCTATAAAAACAATCCCTAAATTTAAATTGATCCGTTTCACATTTTATTCTGGTGGTTTTGAATCCCGCCTCTGTCACCATGGCGACTGCACTTACCAGGCTTTGTTCAGACAATTTAAGGCATTTAGAACCAAGCCTTCAGGCATTGAACTGGCGAATTTAATTCAGTTCATCTTCACTTTACCGTAGGCGACAATCACGGTGAAAAACCATCCGTTGGTGTTTTAGTTGGGGTTAACTTGTAATAGGTAGGTGTTTATAGCATTAAGTCGTTCTTAAGTTGTCCAGTTTGCAAGAAATTTATGATTTACTGGGTACATTGTCTCGTGCTTACTTTGCTCTGTTCTTCATCTCGCTCTTAAAGAAGTTTCAATATGATCTGTGACTTCTTTAATTCCCAATTGCACATAATTTCAATGATTTTTTTTAACCCTGTCACTAAGTGTGAGTTAAGAAGCAGGGATTAAAATTAAGATATCGAAAGGTTTTTTTTAGTCTCGTTTCATACAAAAATTTGAATGAATCTTCAGTGAATGGTTCGTTAAAATCGAAGGGTGTATTCGATGATTTTGTTTACCAACGTTCACTCCTCGTTTGGTGGTTTACATTTGCGCATACCGGTTGAAGTTATTGCTCTGTTGAAATAAAAATTCAGATACACTCCGACAAACGCCAGAAAATTTTTTAAAACCATTTTGACATTTCTGTGACGAGTTTGGTATAAAAATAAAAATGTAAAAATCATAACAACATCCTGTGAAAATTTAACCAACGAACTGTAAACCAGTCGATAAACTTGATTGTTTGGAACAAAAGACAAGGCACTTAACCCGGTTCTTTTTAACGTGTTTAATAGTTCTCGGCAAAAGTGTGTACCTTTGTTTTCCAAAAGGCGATAATATCGTTTACTTCGCACGAACGAACACAGCCGTTAATCAAAAGTTTTGTCTTCACTTTAGAGAGGGACTCTGAAGACTTTCTTCAAGCGAAAGCGAAAGATCCCTTGGAAATTGGAAGACAGTGGTTTTAAGGAAGACATTTCATCGGTAGATTAAAGAGCATTTTTCTGTTGATCAGCTTGTCCGTTTACCCAACCTTTTCAGTCTCGCATCAAAGGATATTTGGACTCCGTCGGAAAACATAAGACAGTTTTGAATAAAAATCTAAAAACTTACTAAAACCGTGATCTTCAATCGGTACCTCAGATATTGGTTATCCAATTGGTAAAAAAAATCAAAACAAACAAACAGGACGGGAAACGATTGATGTAGGCCTTTGAAGCTTATAGTGGCCGGCATTGTAGGTTTTAAAGGCAATTAGTCAAATTCATACAGGACTGAAATGCACACCTAACTTGGGACAAAAAAAATACACAACTTTGGTTTTCTTTTTGAATCAATTCACGGAAGATTTGCAATGCTCAAGTGGGAAGCTGTTGATTTTAGTCGTACACATATACATTTCTCTAACACCTTCCACTTCTGTTCTGAACAGGGGATATCGATCATGTTATAACTTCAGACGTCAAACGGTAAAACTCAATAGAAGCACCTGTTTCAACATCCGCACCATGGGGCCTTTGAAAAGTATCCACTGAGATTTCAACAAGATTTGAAAACATTTGGACTTAAACTGAAAATAAAGCATTTTTTTTCCAACCTGGCTAACCACTAGATATGCGCATTCGTTGAGATTGTAATCAGCAATTAAATTTTAAAGCTTTTCTTCAACTTTGTGTTACGTTTATTGATAAACTGAGAATACTTGGCCAGCTTATAATACTATTTCAATGTTTATTTCTCACATGAATGGCTTGACGCCCATCCTTTCATACTATGAAATGATCAGTTCCTTGTTAGAATGATAGCTCAACGTGGCAAACGAAGCAAACAGACAATTTCAGAGAGGACAAGAATATATGGACTTCTTTATTTCGCGAAAGAAAATTGCGCGGAAAGGTGAATTTTTCTGCGAGAATGAGCACAGCATAGGGTAGGGACAGGACTGGTTTTCCAGTGTCTTCTTAGAAAAATCTCTCCATTGAATAACCGATGTTGCGGCCGTTATACAAGGAAAAAACAGCTCAACAATTTAGGACTTCATGATATAATATCCCTGAAAAAATACTTTAAAATTTATATCAGGAAATTCTGATTAGTTCGGTTTTTTTAAGATATTAATGTCTTGAACTTACTGTTATCATTTGCAATGATTTTCCATGTTAAAGTACTTTTGAGCTTGTTCGGGAGAACGTGGTTTGTTCCCATATTTATACGTATATTTTTCTCTCCCTTTTTAGCATCATGTCGTGGGGTATTAAATTTCTCCTACTTGTAACACTTTGCCTTTATATACAAGCAATTTCAGCCAAACATTATGATGTCAAAATGTGCTGGAGTCAATCAGATTTTGAGGCGATTTTGGACTCGCAGTGTTTAAATCACGCTCTCAGGCGAGGCATGGAGAGGCGAGGTTTGTATCGTATCAGGCGAGAATTTCATTGTTAGTAACTCCTTCTGTGTTGTTTGTCATCGAATGTTGATGTTGAATCGTTTCGACTGTTTTGACTGGTAACCAATTTTCTTACTAGCACGGTGCTTCTCTGTGATTGGTTACTTTCAACCAGTGTGTTGGCTGGGGGCATTTAACGCAGCTGAAAGTAATGAGAGTCAATCGGCAGTACCTAGTTGATCATTCGATTCAATTCATCGTTTTTGTACGGAAGCCGAAAAGGGACAATCCAAAAATATTTTTCAAATCCCGAAAAATATTTCAAATCGCAATATTTATTTTAAATTCACTGTCGAAAAGTTTGAAAAATCCAAAGATACTTTGCAAATCCAAAAAATGTTTTTCAAAATCCGAAAATATTTTGCGAATCCAAAAAAATATATTGAAATCCAAAAAAATTTTTTCAAAATCCGACTGAATATTTTGCAAATCCAAAAAAATTTTTTGTCACGTGTTATTTGCACCAGCAGTCACCCAGCGTTACACCGGCGTTTTCTTACCATATCCCGCATCATCCCGCATACAAAATGGCGAAGGAACGAGGACAGAACATGTTCTGTCATAAATGTGGAAGAGAATGTGGGAACAATGAAACATTCTTCCGTTGTTGTGGAACACTAAATGGCGTGAAGAGGAAAGTGTGTTGTCCAGCTCGGGAGACGAAAGATTGGCG